GGGGGGGGGGGGGGGGGGGGGGGTGTAGGCGGGCTGCCAACGTCAGAGATGACACACGCGCAGCTCCAGCGCGCGGGGATCACGACTCTGGTGATAAACCAAACCGAGCATACCGACGATTCAACGTTTCGCACCTCGTGCCACCTGAGTAACCCTCCACGCGCACGTTCAGGGGGCGTTCACGCCGGTATTTGATAGGAAAAGAGACACAAACTGGCAGCGATTACTGAGGAGTAAAAAAAAGTCTCCTAGTTTTTTTTTCAATGAAGAAGAAATGTTTAGATGATATTTCTTATACTTACAGCAAACCAAACGAAAGGTTTCCCTATCCACCTGATCAGTAACATGGCACAATTAAACCGCTTAAAAAGGATAAAGAGCCCATTTGCATCCAAAAATACAAGTTAGCTCTACCATGAAAAGAGACTAAAAAGGCATAATATGGAGTGAAAACGATTCTGTAGGTCGAACAATCAACCAAAATGTGTTCAAGCCAAATTTCTGCAGATCCTGTAGACTATATGGTAAAGATGGGTCATTCTGCTTGATGCAAATTTGCCCTACCTGATCTTCAGACTTTCCCAAATTGAAAAAAGTCTTGTGCTTTATGACACACGATTAGATTCAAAGAAGCACCACTGAGCAGCAGGAATCACATAAGCCATCCTTAGAAATGACCATCTATCTTTTTGGACATCTGGGCATTGTGTACTTGTTTGTTCCATCCATTATTCTGCTTAAAGCACTCCGTTCTGTCAAATTTTGACAGCAGTTGACACTTTGCCTTGTGGATTTAAAATATGAGCTGTTTTCTTGACTTAGACAGTTCTGAGAGGGAGATAAAACAAAAGGGCCTGATGGACAATAAATAATAACAGATCCAAAACAGAGCTTTTGTTGCATTGGTGAGAGGTTGTGAGTTTTGACCCCGAAAAACATTCTCTTTACCTCTTTAATAGCAGCTTGCTCTTTAGGAAGAAGGAGACAGGGTGCATTTTTCGTCTTATAAATGTGGAATTTGGTTATGTCCCCACAGCCCAGGCACCACAGCAGCCCTCATTTGTTTGTGGCAGCTGTGTGAGACTGAGTACGGGGGCAGTCCCAGAGAAGTGACACTGTTGAGTTTCATTTGTTGATCAAGTGAAAAATGATTTGATCTGGGGAATGCTGCTAACAGAGACAGAGGAAAAAGGTCTATTTCCATTCATGTCTGCATTTCTTTTGGTAGATTAGATATCTTCGTGTGCATGACTTCTCCTCAGCAACCCACTCCTCTGATATCAACACCTCATGTGTCATTTTTACATAAGGCCTAATCTCAAATGAGGAAGTAACCATTGACTGTGTGTCGCCTGCCCTTTTCTCTAATGTCTGACATGTCTTAAACCGTCTTTCCTCTGTGGACCAGAGATAAAGCTGTAAAGATGAAGTGGGAAGAGAGTATGAAACGCCTGGTGCCAGCCTCCACAGCCACACGGTAGCACCCATGGTTACAGACCCCTGGCGACAGGACCTCAAAGGCACAACAGCATCCCTCGACGCGGCCTGTTTAGATCCTGGCTGGCCTCAAGAGCCAGCCATCTTGACAACGCTCTTCTGACGCTTGCCCACATGCAAAGTGAGGGGGGAAAGACGCAGAGAGGTGTGAGGACAGCCGAAGTGAGCTCTCTGAGCTGAGAGTTGTCGGTCCCTGCTGCTTGATTTGGTTGCCATGGACGTGATGTGGGATTTCCAGATTCCTGCAGGTGGGCCGTGTAATGTAGACAAATTGGTTGCACTTTTTGCAATGTCAGGTGTTGACTATCTTTGGAGTCATAGACACATACAAAAGAAAAATAATGTATATGTACATATATACATTTATTTAATGTTACATTCTAAGTTGTGATACAAAAACAATCCTGACTAGTACTTTGACGTGATGCATGTTGCTTATTAGTAACAATGTCAGATATTACTTCCATCTCTCACATCTTCAACAACATCCATACCTGTCCGTGGCTATAGATTACAGCAAATTGGAGCTCTACCTAGTGGCCAGAGTGAGAAGTGATGCTCTCATTTTTTCTCATTTAAATCGTGGTGAAGCACATGGCATTGTTAAAGAGTCCCACATTTCAAAACACCTACAAGTCGTGCACATGTGTTTTAATTGCTTTTGGTTTTAGTCAGTCACCTCTTTTGGTGTTCCTGTGCAATCAGTTCGCATCCGGCCATTTAATTGTTCCTTTTTATATTATTTTGTCCTGTTATTAATCGCTTTGTGAACATTAAGTGTCTCTGTCTGTTGAATCATTTGAATCATGAAAAGACACACACTGCCATTTAACATGCCTGTGACACCTTTAGATTTAGTGTATCTTAAATCCCCACAGCAAACGTTCCAGTTATTGTACAAAATATTTCATAACCAACAAAACAATAACTTTGTCATATCAATGTATATTCTTGTTAATCATTGTTGGAATTCTAATCAGGTGGTCTTCTTTCAAAAGCTTCAGATTGCTGTGGTGTTCAAACATAAAGTTGTGAATGCATATATTAGGACCAGAGAATGACAAATAACACATGTCAGAGGTCAGTTGTATTTTCTTTGGCCTTTTGTTCCTTTATTTGAAAGACAAATCCCCTGATGGGCTCATCTTTAGTGTTTTCCGAGGGAAGAACAGAACAAAAACACAATTCATAAAGGCTTCAACTGCTCTTGGAAAAGAAAACATGCTGGAATAGGTTAAAGGACTCACTACTTCTGTCTCTAAATAAGGCTCAGAGAGATGTCTGCTCAGCTGCTTCCCATCCCTTTCAAGTTGAAGCCTGGCCACAAAAAAAATCCAGCCCGCACCGAAGATAACAACGAGCGAGCCTGTGGCGTGGTTAGAATAAAACGGATAAAAGAGCAGGATATGCAAAGCCGCTCAGTCAAAGCCTATTCATGACACGCCGAAGTGCACCAACAACTGGTTGGACCGGCTTGTCCCTCTTCTCTGATGTCATCCAATAGACGAGCGTCTGGCGGCTGCGATGCGCATGTATGCAGTCCGCTGCCTCAACGCATCACGGCGAGCCGCACTTGACAGCTTCCCCGGTTAGACAGGCGGAAAAACAGACCGTTCGAGGGAGGAAACCAGACTAGCTCAATTCCCCAACAGCCAGTCGTCATCATCCGCATCCAGCCGACGTAGAGAGCCTCCCGCACAGCTTCCCCGTCTCACCCTGTCCATCCTTTTTTTTTCTCCCCTCTTCTTTTTTTCCCCCCCATCTGTGGAAGGATTAAATGATGTTCATGCTTTCTAACGCGCAGATGACAGCATAACCAGGGCTGTGAGCCGTTAATGATACCAAAACACCGGCCTTTTTTCTTTTTTTGGGGTTTGTCGAGGAAGATCCGCCGCGCCTGGACATGAATTCGGCGGAACAGACGGTTACGTGGCTGATCACGCTCGGGGTGCTCGAATCGCCGAAGAAGACCATCTCGGATCCCGAAGCCTTTCTGCAGAGCTCGCTGAGAGATGGGGTGGTCTTGTGTAGGCTGCTGGAGCGGCTCAGCCCGGGTTCCACGGAGAAAGTAAGAGCAATATACACCCCCCCCCCCCCCCCCTCTCACCCCCCCTCTTCCTCCTCCTCATCAGCACCAGCCGCGCTCCCGTGCACAACACACCCCGTCGGCGTGTCTGTGTGCTGGCCACATCCGTGACACCGACGCGGGTTCGTTGTCTGGCCTCTATTTTTGCCCACTGATCCATGAGGCAATTTTCTTTTGTAGGTCACGGCAGCCCTTGTTATTGTCTACTCCAGCAGCCCCTATGCGCGCACATATGCTGCCTGTGTCCAACAAAACAGAGACGCCGCTCTATCGACCTGTGTATTGATCTGTCCTAAATAAGGGAGAGGAAAGCTGCTCAAATGAAATTATCCCGAGGTGTGAGATGCAGTAGCCTATGTAGTGCTTTATGGGCTTTACAGTGAAGGCCTCGAATAAAATGTTTCCAGTGTCTCATGATCCTAATTAAGCTGACATTGGGGGGTTTTTAAGCTTATGTTTTCCATCACTTGCGGGTGAGTGTGCTTAAATACTCATACCATGGTCATTCAGAGTTAAAGGGCTATTTGTACACATACCTTCTTGTGAGAGTGGGCCGCCATTGACTGCAAAGGCGCACAGACCGAGATGCTCCCTCTCCCTTTTTAAAGACACAGCGCAGTGTTTGCGTCTCAGTGTTCAACCTCCGCCAATTTAGACAACCACCTGAAGGAGGCAATGTTTTCCTGGAGCGAGGTGTTCCTCCCGGGGCTCTCTGCACCACCTGTTAAATGACAAACACCTCCCCCTGTTTTCTCCGCCATTGTATGACATTGTTCAGCTGTGTTTTTATATTTGTATTCATAGAAACCAATTGGGGCTGCATGGGCAGCAAACTGAATTAGTGTATTCTTAATTCTGGCTGCCCCCCTTAAAAGGCACATCAAGCTATTTCTTTTGCCATACTCATGTAGTTTTAAGGCCTCAACACAGCCACTTGGTCTTTAACCATCATCAACCAGTGAATTAAAACAAAAACGGAGGATTCTATAAAATGGCACGTGTGAATCAGAGACCAGATCACGTTCTTGAAGGACACTGACCCCATGGCCAGAACTCCCACAACTCAGGTACATCTATTTTTACTCTTTAAAACTCACACAGTAATCCATCCAGTTAAAAAATGTTTGATTTTATTCTTAAATGCAACTGTTTTTGTGTCCAATACAAAAAAAAAATATGTAAAAAAATTATTGTGGATAGCACCAATCGGAACATCAAATTCTATGACAGTTTTATGAGTTGTTCTGAGAGTTTGTTATATCAATACTGCTCTCTGGTGGACAAATTAGGCTGCATTTGTAATGGAGGTGCTGCAATGTCTTACTCATATTCAGGTGGTATACCTGGAATCTATTCAGTGGCCTAAAACTGAGTAAACTTACATTTACTGAAAACCACATGAAGTCCTTCCCTTGAAAACATATTGGAGGCTGTATCTCTTATCTCTCATTATAAACTAATCGGTTGGAAACAGAGGAGTAAAGAGACAATGAAAGTTCCAGAGGTGAGGACCTGGATGTGTAGTCTCTATCTGCTATCACTGGCATCTTTCAAGCTCGTATCTAATCATGTTTGGCCTTATTTCTCGTACATCCTTAGGTCTTTTCTGTTGTACAGACCCTACTTACTGATGTTGCCCAGTTTTATTTGACAGAGGAAACTGAATCAATGCAAAGAAACACAACACTGTGTATCTAAAATTCTTACAAATTGAAAATCGATAATTTAAACTAAAGCAGATTATCTTAGATTGTCACTGTTTGAAGTTTATCTTTCAAAAGGAAGCAGTATTCTCAGATACCATGTGGTAATATTTCATCTGGCAGATTTTACAAACTGTACATGTCAATGTAATTCACTTTTCATCTCGCTTTGCATTCATTTGCAGTTCCGGCCCACTTGATCAGTTAGTGGCATTTACTTATCTCCTTTAAATGTCGTCCCAGACCAGGCAGAAAACATGTTTAAACACTTATTTCTACTGCTGTAATTCTTTTAAATTGTGGATTTGAACATGTTTATGTTACATATCCAACTCCTACCCTACAATGTGACCTAACATGGCAACAGAACTGGCCACAGAGTATTTCAGCATCAATGTGAGCACGTACCAATCCGTTGTTTCCATTTTTAAATACATAAATTCACATTGTCTACCAAATGTTACAATGATCTTTTTCCAGGGTTTATGGATAACAACAGCAAGCCCTTTTGCAAAACAGAAAGAACACACAATTCAAACATAAACAAAGCTAAAACTCTTTTTTATTAAACTGTGCCATTAAAAGAAAAAGCACTATTTGTGTTCATCAGTACAAATGTAATGATTTGTATCTAATGTTTCATGTTGCACAGTGAGATCAGCTTCAGTCAGAGATTCTATTTTTAAACCATTTCCTGAGATGTATATGCTGTGGTTACTTATTAAATATGCGGGGGGGAAATGAAGCATTTCATTTACTCATGAACTTTATTAACTCTTCCTTTTCCCTCATCGCCTTTCTTCTTCTCCTTTTGAAACCTGAGGCCCAAACAAGCCTGTGGGGAAAGGTTTTGGCACACTTAAAAGTGGCTTACCTTTGATTCTCTTTTGATTCTCTTCAAAATGTTTCATGACAGAATCTTTAAAATTTCTTCATTGGGTCAAAGTTTAAAGTCTTTTTAAGCGTCACCAAATGCCTCGTCCCAAATGAAGTTTGAGGTATGAAGTAGCAAATCATACCAACTTGAGAGCATTGTACTTTGCATTGGACCATTGAAGTCATCACATTAAACAAGCTGATGCGATGCATGCTAACTGTTTGACGAGATGCATGTATGAAATAGCTGTAAAGTATACTTCATATCATTATTTGGAATAATGATAGACATGAAAGTTAATTTTTTAAAATGTCCTTTTACAAGAGGGTCTCTATCCCAGGGTGTTTATTCACTTTTTTCAATACAACTGAAAAGTTTTCCATCCAGTTCACTGAGTGGTATGTACTGCCATGATGCGCTCTGCCGCTGCTCATATAACAGATTACAAAAACATAAAAAAATAACATCAATCATTTTCACATAATGATTCTGATCCCCATCTGCTTGGGAGCTCCTGAGGCTTATATAAGTCAACTTCAATGACGACATAATTAGGGATATTAACCACAAAGTTGTTGTTTTAAAAAAGTTTGTTAGGATAGTTATGCTGTATGCTATCTCAAAATGGTGGGAAACGTTAAAAAAGGAAGTGATATCTATGTGAATGCCCCCAAAACATACATACATTTTTTGGAGAATGCTAGCTGGTAAAATTGTATGTATAACACGGCTGTGGGTGATCCAGGTTATGTTTGGCAGTTGTAGCTTGTCTAAGGTACTGTTATGTCCTATTGGCCAGACATGGCCCAGAAACCAAGTCCTGGGCCTGACATGGGTTGTAGTATCTTTTGGGAGCCAGGTGGTTTGCAAATGGGTCACGGTGTGCACGGCGGGCTTGAACCCAAAAATATAGCTAATTCTGGCTTTCTCTTTTAGATTTACATTTACATCTATGCATTTAGCATATGCTTTTGTTCACAGCAACTTGCAAGAGTACAGGAGAAAATTAATTGTAATTTTATACACATTTGCAGGGCTCAGGCTCTCCACACTCAAACTTCAGGTGTGTGTCAGGTATAGGTCAAATGTTCTTTGAAATCTGGGAAAAGTAAATTTGACTGGGAAGTGATTTGACAACTGTATGCTCTTAGCATAAGAATTAAAAATCTAATCAGGCTGTCAGCATGACTGCCTCCACCTAAACCGGTTTACCCACCCGTGGCTGCTTCAGCCAAACCGTGATTTTCTGACCTCAATAAAGAAAAATCCACGCATTCACAACGCCCCAAATCGGCCCGAAATACCATATCTTATATTGATACAGTGACTTGGTGAGAGATTGTGTTTGACTTGAATATATAACTCAGTTTTCTGATCAGTTGGATTAAGTTATCCAAGCAATCTAAACCGCTCCGAAAGGGGAAAAATAGGGTCTAATGGGGCTAGGAAGAAAAAAGAAAAGAAAAAAAAAGAGGTCCCACGGGCAGCAGCAGCATCAGTAGGGATCCCTATTTGTCAACGTCATTTCCCTCGAACAAATAACAGCCTCTTCCACTTCCCTACTGCGGGTTAGTGCTCAGCCTCCCGGAGCGCCAGGCCCAATGCGCGCACAGCCTGCGGAACCCGCAGATCTCCCCGAAAAGAGCCAGCGTTTTTACACAGCAGCGCACTGTTAGAAAAAGCAAGCGTTGGATAAAGTGGGGCTCTGATCCGCGTCTCCGTCCCTTTCAGATTTACCAGGAACCGAAAAACGACGGCGAGTGCCTGAGCAACATAAAGGAGTTTCTGAAGGGCTGCACATCGTTCCGCGTCGAGGTAAGTCGCCTTTATTTTCTTCAGGTTTTTTTTTTAGAGGGTGGGGGGTGCTTGTGTGGGGTGGCCTTGTCTCTTTTGTTTTTCTGAGGACACTCTTCTGCTCGCCTGTGCGTCCGGGAGAAGCCGCGAAGTTTTGCATGTGTGAGTGGATCCGACAGACAATGCGTTCACGGGGGGAGAGGGGACGGAGCCCCTGACAGAGGGAGGAGGAGGAGGAGTGTGTTAGCAGCCGAGAACAAGCCCCATCGCCCGGACCACAAAGCTCCCCTCTGACCGTACAGTCGGCCAGAGCCACTTATTCAACAGTCCGGGTTCGGATTCAAGAAAAACAAACCAAACAAAAAGCAAACGAAACGGAGAACAGGATTCGTTGGGGGGTGGGGAGGTGTGTGGGGTGCATTGTCGCTGTGCTTAATTGCATTTAAAAGCAGCTGGCTGATGTTTACCATTTCTAATTAGGATGCAGGGCTTTGTCCGTGGCCCCATTGTCACCAGCAGCTCGCGCAGACCGGTTTATTTTGGCAACACGGGACCAGCCCCTGGCCATCGGAGTCTCGTTCTAACGTGGTTATAACCCTCTGGGATTATTTGGGCTCAAACATGTCAACAAATCAAGCGCCTCGAACCCGTTTGGAGGCTTTTGCCCGCCTTGGCCTCGGTCTTAAGCGAGTTAAGGATGGAGTGTTTTTTATGGCTGCGCACTGGCCAGCGCACAGAGGGGTCATTGAACGGGCCCGGGGTGACAATGCGACTCAGTGTTCCTCAGCCTCGCTTCTTCCCGCAGAGCCTTCAGCCACTGAACAAGAGGAGGTGGAGCTGGGGACAGGCAGAGCTGTCACACTGAGTTGGTGGAAGATTCTGTTTGGTGGTGGGACAACAAGGCCATGCACTAAAAGCAAAACAAGAGGTGCATCTCTGGTTGTTGTGGAAGCAGCCTGTGTGCTGTTGTGTTTGGGTTTGCTACAGGGATAGCTGCAACAATCTGGTTTGTCATTTTTTTCTTTTTTTAGTGACACCAATCACACATCTCCCACCCACCCCCTTTATTTCGTGCAGCATTTTCCGCTATAGGATGTGTTTTTTTTGCCTCCCTTCTCAGCTGACCGCTCTCTCGGCGCTCCGCGTTGGCCCGTCCGTGCGTGCGGTCAGATGTACGTGACCTTTTATTTGTTCATTCTGGCGGAGTGAGCCGGGGCAGAGCAGGATTACAGCAATTTGGGGCATGGCAGTCTGCTGCTTGCTATCTGTAAAGAAAGGATGATCTTCTCCAGAGGCCAGAGCTCCGCTGGCCCTGACCCCCGGCTGGCGGCCGCCGCAGATTAAAGCGGTGGATGCTCACATGCCAAACACGCCGACTGGAGATGTGCTTTTCGCCGTGCCGACCCATTTTTCATGTTGATGACGCGTTTGCATGTGTGGTCAGAAATCCTTCTCATATGGCTGATTTTTTTTTAAAGATTCAGCCTGATTCCTTGGGTCAGTTTGGATTCTCAGGACCTGAGTGTCTGAGCAGCTGCTTCTGCTGACTCGTGCTTTTGTCTACAGGAAGTGATTTTCAGTGTTCCCATGACCCCACTGGCCCATGCGTAACCTTTAGACATGCATCTACCTTCCTATTGACTGGGACAGACCCATTTTTTAGATGGTCAAGAATGGAGAGGATTAAGTTTGTGATGACGATCGAGTATGTCATCGAACAGAACTGAGAAAACACCCATATGGAAATTTAAGCACCTGAAATGAAGGCAACACATACCTTCAGATCCTGTTAGATCCAGTAAAGGCAGCCGGGCTTCTTTTTGGACCTCAATACATTTCATATCTCATATGAGAGCCTGTGCTGTGAGACCGCTCCAGGTGATCCAGAGTGTTGCAGCCCGTTTGGTTTTCAACTGCCTTAGAGAGCACATGGCACACCCCTGTTCACTGAAGGTCAATCTAGAGTCTTCTCAAGCACGATCAGAGCTTTCTCTTTCCTCCTTCAAGAAATCCTTGAAGACCCAGCTCTTCCAGAGTATCTCTTGTCCTGAAAGCTCTAGATGCACTTATTTTCCATTAGCATATAGCACTCAATGTATGGTACTTGTATGCTACCCTATGTCATGGTTGAATGTTAAATCCTCAATGTTTAATCCCTTTCTGGTGTTTAATCCTTTTTTGGTGTTGTAGCTAAATGTTACAACCTCTTTTTGTAAGTCGCTTTGTATAAAAGCGTCTGCTAAATTCATACAGGTACATTTTTCAGTTTAGAACAGAAGAAGGTAGCTTTATTTCAACGTTGTGGGTTTACTATGACCTGTAACACAATAACACACAGTCTCACCAACATTTCTTCAGATAACCTCAACAAAAGTTGAGTAAACACTGGTTCAAAAGCAGCAAGCCTTGTCAAAACACTTAATCATACTCAAAGGAGACAGTTATTGGCCATTGTTTGCCCATTATACGAGGTCTTTTTGGCTATGGGGAGTCTGACTTTCTCTCAAATTTTATCGCTTTTGCGTTGAGATCTGTCACTCAGCTAGAAGAATATATTTCAGAACATCCCATGTGAGGCAAGATTTAAATGATAAAATGGTTTTAATGTGAAACGAATTTAGATTTTGATAGCTTTCCAACCACTGATAGCTACCACCACTGAAGAAGCTATCAGTGGCTTAAAGACATTTAACATTTGCTATGTTTGACTGTGTTTGCTATAAAAAAAAACTTTCGGTTTGATTGTCACTTTAATGCTCCCAGCGTGTCTGTAGCATTGTTCAATGATTATTTTTTGTCCTCTCGGTCTGATCTCATTTAAAGGCTGTAGAATGACATCATTCTAACTGGATGAGCCTTAATTTTTTTATCTGTATTTTCCTATTGTCTTCCGTAATCAACAGGACAATCACAGTCCTTATCATCACTTAGATTTGTTTTTGTTTTTGTCCTCTGGGTCTTCCAGTTCCTCTTGTTGAATAATAGAAATAGATTAACAGCCCCGTTCTGTACTCGAGATTGATATCCTGATATGAAGGTGTTAATTTTCGGTCTAAGTTGAATGTGATGGTCCAGATTCTTGTGACACCACAAGCCCACAGTTCAGTTAAAGCCGCTGGCTGGTTTCATACAGAGAAGTTTCATAGAGAGTTGATTAGTTAGAAACCCTAATCTGTTTCTCAGATGTTAAAATGCTAGTGTTGGACAGCTGTCACATGTCTCGTGGGGTTTTAGTCTTCAGGCATTGAATCACATGATCAGCTGATCAGGTGACCAGTGATAAATATTTCACAGTTCAGGGATGTAGAAAACTGTGGTGGCCTTTCATGTAATTCAGAGCTTTTCTTATAAAATCATTGAGAAAAAAAAGAGACAGTCGAATATTTTTTTCCCCTGTTTGTTTGTGTTTTGATTCAGGACAAAAGGGCTTTGCAGAGTGATGTGTAACCATGGCCCATTAAGCTCAGTTTACATGCTGTAATACCAGTGAAGCAGAACTCTTACAGTTTGTTGCCCTGTTGTAGCCTGTTGAGTCACTCAGGGGTGTTGCTCCGTGCTCTGGATCGTTGCTTGACTGTGATGCAGTGGTGCAACAAACAAGTCGGTTCTTGTCACATTAGTCATACTCATTAGCCCTAAATGATCGTGTTTATTATGAATTATTCTTTATGTTTAGCTGTTAACTCACTGGAGTGAGACTAAAGAAGTGGATACAGCTCCCACTCTGCAAATATAAGTACATAAGGATTAGTTAAAGGTGGCCTATCACGCATGGTCATATTCAACCCCCCACCCCCCCCCCAGCTGTCAACTAATGCACCTGCTGGGTTAATTCAGAGTGTCAAGAAGAAAGCATTTTTTGTGCCTGATTTTTAAAGCCCTTTCCCTTAAAACCCTAATACTTGTAACACAGGGCCAGTGTATGGTTTCCAAACTTCTACTGACAAAGACTGCTTTATCAAGTAGAGGTTAGAACTTTGGCTATTTTTAATAGGGGAACTGGTATTGTTATAATGCATAGATGTCAGAAACTGAAACAAATGCATGATAGTTTGCTTTCATAGTCATATTACTTCCGGATTAAATTGAGTGTGCTTCTGCTTGATTGCTCATAAAAGGGTAAAACGTCCCATGGGTTTGGAGCTCACACGCAACATTTTCACACACAGGCTTTGTTTTCCCCGGACAGACTCCAACACAGTCTTTCACATGTTCGCCTGAGGACAGATCCCTAATCAGAGCGAAGACGAACGAGCCTCATATCTCACTCGTACTCGCTGTAATTGAAGCAAGAGTAACTCATCACATGACACCGTTACACAGGAAGGGAGAAGACAGCTACATTCATCAAAAGAGATACAATCGCCCTCATTCATGCTAGCTGACAGCCCAGTGACAGTCACGGCGGTGAGGATACTAGTGGCTGTCACAGTTTTTTTTTTCTTTAAATCCTCTTTTTTTTTTTAAATGGAGACTATGTGATTAAATGGATGTGTTTTGGCAAAGTTTCTCAAAGGTTGAACAGTCCCGGAGGCAATGTGAAACCAATTCATTCAGAAATAATGTCACGATTTAACAGAAATATGATCCAAAGTTCTTCGCTCAGCTTTTTGGCTTCTGTTACACACAAGGCCATTTTCATGAAGCCAATTACTTCAAATCATAACATGTGAACCGTAACCATCATGCACCTGGCTACATTCATTGTATAATAATTATATATAGTTATATAATAGTTTTTGCTGCTTTTTCTCTTAGGAATCACACAGTTATAAATTGCAATCCCGGAACAGGACAGACAAGTGTGCTTCATTCATTCCCATGTGATCATTTAGTCTTTATTGCCGCATGAAAATCCATAACAAACAAAAAACAAAGGTTGTATTTGTATGTAGTAGTTATAGATACGGTGGGACTTGTGCATGTTTTTGCTTTTACTCAGTGACTTTTAACATTTTGAGACTCAGTTTATAACTAGCACTTGAAAAAATCATTAATCCCAGTATCAGTTTATATGATGGTAAATTAAAAATAAATGGGTCTGTGTTTTTCAGACAAAGACATTACTGTATAACTTGGACACTTGCATAACATATTGCACATATAGATGTCTTGTGCTGTTATTTATTTAATAGTTATTTGTCTAATTTGGCTAATAAAAGCAAAGTGAACATGATAAATAGTAGCTGGAACCATAGTATCCATCTGTCTTTTGCTTTCTTTTTTTAAATACAACATTTAGGTTGAGGACATCTGCCTATGCATTTGCAAAAAAAAGTCTGAATGTTGCTAAAAAAAAGAATCCAACTTTAGATGTGAAGATTTGGCTGTAAAGATATGAAACAAAAGCTGTGTCTCTTTGGAGCTACTGCAGTAGATGGATGCGAGTCTGCTGAGTTTTTGTGTTTTGCTCGCTGTCTCTGGGAAAGGTAGTGAGTTATTGATTGACTGCTCAGCGCTGGCACCGGGTCAGCTGATGCCACAGTCCCGCTGCACTGCAATAAATCATGAGTTTTGAAAAGGGAAATTCATTTGCCGATGCCTTCCCCCTCTCATTATCTGCTCTCTGTCACCCACAGCCGTTCGAGGCCAGTGACCTGCTGCTGGGCCTGAACTTCTCAAAGGTTCTCAGCAGTCTGGTTACGCTCAATAAAGTGACGGCAGGTTAGTCAAGATACATGGATTTTGTGTGCGTGTGTGTGTTTTCCTTTTGTAATTAACAAAAGGCAGATAGTTATGATTGTGTGGGTGTGTGAGTGTGCTGGCGGCGGATGCCAGCGTGGTTTATTTATACTGTGCCATTCCCGTGTAGATATTGGCGTGGGCAGTGATTCAGTGTGCGCCCGACACTCATCCGCCCATCGCATCAAGTCGTTTGAGTCACTGTCCTCGCAGCCTTCGCTGAGCCGATCCTCCAAGCTGCTGCAGAACCAATTTCGCAGTCTGGTAAGATCCACACTCACTACAGGACGTGTCTAAAATTAAATCTAGCGTACGTTTAGATATAGCGCATACCCATCAACCTGAATTACAGTGCAGCCAAGAAACTGCCTATTCTACATAGGAAATCTGATTTATTGAGGCCAGCAACAAAAAAACAAGCAACCTGTCTTTAAATTAGCAGAACATTGATCATTTAAATTGAAAGGAAAATTCATTTGCACATGGATTGTTTTTGACACTCTTTCTCCACCATAAGGACATGTCAGAAAACAGTGGACAGGTGCTGGTGAAGGCACGGTTCAACTTCCAGCAGACCCACGAGGATGAGCTCACCTTCAACAAGGGCGACATCATCAGTGTGACCCGTCAGGTGGACGGCGGCTGGTGGGTGGGGACGCTCAATGGCAAGACCGGCTGGTTTCCTAGCAACTATGTGCGGGATGTCAAAGGCTCAGGTAGGTGCCACAAGTGCAAACTTTGAAGATGCAGACTCTCTGATAGGGAGGTGTAGAGAATGTGAAAGATCAGCGACCTCATCAGATTTATGATATGATGCTACGATTAAAAACGATCTAATAACATCTTTACGAGAAGCTCCTATGCACAGACGCTTGTGCTCTTTTCAAATATGGACTGCGGGGGAGTGATTCATTGTGTAAATAATTCTGCCCGTGCTTGTTTTTGTGAATGAACTTGTCATATCTATGTCAGACTGGCAAACTAGTACACAGCAACAATCTGTTCCATTCAATCTGGTGGAGTGAGGGGAAGACTTTGAATGGTGTGCTGTTTTCTAATTCATATGACGGGTTAAAAGGCCATGTGGTATTATTGTAAAGAGATATGATAAACAAAATGAGTATTTCATAAACAAAAATCATGATTTAGACATATATGCAGTATATCCTCATCAAAATAGATGGATGGGCTTGTATTGCTACCCCCTCTGGATCAGGGGTGCCCCAAGGTTGTTCCTCGAGAGCTGCTCTCCTGGCAGTTTGAAAGTTTCTCTGCCTCAACGCACCAAATTCACATCAGCGGGACATTCGCAGGCTTGTGGAGAGCTTCTGAACTGATCCATTTCATCGGAAATTTCTGTGTTGAAGCAGGGAAACTTCTAACACCTGCAGGCCCGCGGCCCTCAAGGATCGGAGTTGGACAGCCTTTCTCTAGATAGATAGGAAGATGTTTTTAGAAGTCCAAGAATGTCACAGCAGAGTATAACTGGACTTTTCAGTGTTGCCATCTGTTAATCAGTTTTATGCAATAATTCTCCATCTAGGTATTGGTTCTTTTTGGTTCAGGTTTGAGTAGATTTTTGTGCCTGAAGTCATTTGATTATTTTTCTCCCCACAGACAAACAAGTGTCCCCCAAATCTGGCACCCTCAAAAGTCCCCCTAAAGGCTTTGACACTTCTGGAATCAGCAAAACGTACTATAATCTGGTAAGAAAGCTATGCTGTTTTTTTGTCCCTCCTTCTTTCTCCACATTTACTTTGGTACTTAATAGATGACTAAATCGAGTAACCCCTAACTCTAACCAAATTGTCTGAAACATTGACATGATAAAGCTTATGTTGCTCCCTTTTTTGTTTTAGGTGTTACAGAACATTTTAGATACAGAGACAGAATATTCCAAGGACCTCCTCGGCCTCCTGACAAACTACCTGCGACCTCTTCAAAACATCGACAAGTATGGTTCCTTCAAAAATGTGCTGGGATTGTTACGTGACATTTTCATATTGATCATAATTACAGAGGCTAAACAACTAAGACCACTGGCCTTACTTTTCCATGTCACTGAGCAAGTTCTCACCACAACACATTTCTCTTCCAGGCTCAGCAGCTCAGATGTGGCTCTAATTCTGGGGAACCTCGAAGAGATTAGCACCTTCCAACAGATGTTGGTCCAGTCGCTGGAGGAGTGCACCAAGTGAGTCATCCCACCACGCACAAATGCTCACTCACTACTCACTTCTGCTGCGTGATAAGCAGGGACATCTAGTGTTGTACTGGATGTACAACAAATCCGTTGGTATCACACATAAAATTACAGACGGGAGAGTTTTGAGGATGTTGAATCCTTGGTGCACATGCTCAGTACACGTTTTTTCTTCAGGCTTCCAGAAAGCCAGCAAAGGGTGGGCGGCTTTTTTCTCAACCTCATGCCACAGATGAAGGCTCTCTATGTTGGTTACTGTTCCAACCACCCCTCGGCAGTTAATGTGCTTACCCAACACAGGTATGCTTCAGGCTCCTGCTTTTTTCGGAATTTATTTCAACTTGAGCTCGTCATAAAATATTTTCTAAAGCCTTAAATTAAAAATTCTCTGGTGAATTTGTTGTTGATTATATCTCTCTTTTTTCTGATATCTCAGTGAAGTTTTAGGTGATTTCATGGAGGGGCGTGGCGCCGTCAGTCCTGGGATCCTCAACCTGACATCGGGCCTTAGTAAACCCTTTATGAGACTGGACAAATACCTCACATTACTCAAAGAGCTAGAGAGACACGTAGAGGTGTGTACTTTAGTGCAAATGACCTTTGGGGAATACTGTGTTAATCTGTGCGGTTAATAAGCATCTTTCTATTCCTTTAGGAGGGCCATCCTGACCGGCCAGACATTCAGAAGTGCATGACAGCTTTTAAAAGTCTATCTGTAAGCTCGCCACACTTCAGTCAGATTTGACATATATAAAGATTGTAGGTAATAAGACTGTATGTGAGCAGGGTTTGAAGCAGCCGTCTCCTCCTATCCCACTAGGCTCAGTGCCAGGAGGTCCGGAAACGAAAGGAGCTGGAGCTACAGATTCTCACTGAGACCATTCGGCTGTGGGAGGGCGACGACATCAAGACCCTGGGCTCTGTGATCTACATGAGCCAGGTCTTGGTTCAGAGTCCTCTGCCAGAGGTACCCACCTCCCTCACCTGCACTTCAATCATGTACATTAAAAACAAATGACACTAAACCTATTCTTTTTTTTAGTTCAAATGATTAAAGGAACTAAGTGCAAATATAGAAATTGGCTACTTCTTAGCAAGGTTTTCCTATGATCAGCTGACAGATTAAAACTCAAGATATTCATAGATACAGTGGCTGGAAAACTCATAAAACTCAGAAACACAACTGCCTACGGTGAGAAGTGGGGCAAACTTTGTAGTTTTTTCCCCCAAACCACTTGGTTTGTAACTCCCTAGATGAGCTGTTTCCCACTTGTGTGACTATTTGATTAATATGTGCAAAAGACACATACTGAGGTAAAATAAGTTTTTCACAATGTTTTCATTTTTACAATGGCCTTTGTTTCCTTTGTTATATATTCTATTCTAGTTGAATGATCTTGGGAGTGATATTCCCCATTTGTGCCTGTTTGTGGTTTTCTGTAGTTTCCGTGAATTAATGACGTTTTATTGTTTTATTAAGAAACACAGAAAGAAAATTGTTAGCCTCAGTAAATGGGGTGTTGCCTGTTCATATCCATGGCTGAACCATTTGACCAGTGCTGAGTCATACAATAAATTGGTGTACTTTTTTAGTTTATTTATATATATATAGATTGTGTGTAACTGCAAGCTAAATGGAGCAGATGAGTGAGGAAGGAAGCGGAACAAAAGGCCTTGTGCAGATGCCTGGCTGTTTATCTTATTGCTACAGCAAAAATAATTAGTTCCTTCACTTAAAATAAAGGAAGACTGCTCCTTTTACTGCTACTTTGTTTTTAGAGCCAGAGCACATTTACAAAAATGTGCAATCATTATGTGTATTTCTATCCTGTTAACACAGATACATTAATTATTACAATTTAAATATACAATGAAAAATGAAAAAACATGAACTATTGTAAAAAAAAAAAAAGAAAAAAAAAAGAATTATATATTGGGAAGAAATCTGTGTACACTAAGGCCATTTTAAGAACAGTGGCAAACAGAATGCTCTCTTTCTGGTGAGAGGCTTTGTGTTGGATGGAACAAAACAACATTGGTTAAAATAAAATTCCAGGACAGTGTTTAAGCTAAGTGGAATACACCTTATTATTTTCTAAAGTTTCTTTAATCTAAATCTCTCTCTTGACATTATTTTCTGATTTTTCAGGAGAAGAATGAGCGTTACCTTATGCTTTTCCCCCACGTCCTCCTCATGTTGTCTGCTAGCCCCAGAATGAGTGGCTTCATATTCCAGGTTAGTCGTTTTTACACTTTTTCAGATCGTGCTTATTTGAGCTCCCTTTTTCCAAATCAGTCCTCATATTTCAATGAAGAAAGCCAAAAGATGTTCCTGTTTTTACGTCACGGGGTGTGATTCTGCAGGGAAAACTGCCCTTGGCTGGCATGACAGTGACCAAACTAGAAGACTGTGAAGCCCATATAGATTCCTTTGAGCTCAACGGTAAGGCTTTACTATAGGAGGAAAATGCTGGAGTGAATAACTTGCAGACAATGCCTCTAAAAATACTTTTTCTGCAGGTACGATGTTCGACCGTCTCGTGGTGATGTGCGCGAACCAGCAGGACCTGCAGGATTGGGTGGAACATCTGACGAGGCAGATCAAACACACTGCCGCCACGGCGCCGAGCCACAAACCACTCACTGTTCCCTGCCACACGGTCAGGATCTCACTAATCATTTACACCCAGTTTGCTTTCAACACTTTGAATATGTGCGCTGATTTCTGACTGACTATGGCCATTTAAATAAATAGTGATTGTGAAAGAGGTTGGCTCCTATAATGGCAAGCAATCATCTCAAGTGATGACGAAGCCCCGTTTGAAGTGGCTTTTCTCTCTCAATAGACGAATGAAGAATGACATTTAAGTAAATACAAAAGCAAAACAATTTGATTTATCGGTATACTACGAAATTTGACTAAGTAAACTAGTACTATCCCAGAATAGGAAACTGCATATTCTAAGAAGTATTATGGCAAGAAGTAAATGGTCTGACTGATTTAAAAACTAACTATCTCAGAGGGGGACGTCTGTCTGGGGTATGTTGGCATTTCCAGCTTTCAAAATAAATATATTTTGTGTATTTATGACATTTAAACTCGCATCCAGATGGCTTCTTCAGTTCTAAACTATATGAAGACCAGCTTTCGGACAGGTCATTGCAGTCGATTGGGTCATGGAGCTGTGGATTGTCTTACTTTCCGAGAGACTGAGCCGTGCACTAATGGGGATGACTATGCGTTGTGTGAATCCAAAATGAATACCTGCATAGCCTTTATGGAGAAAATGTGAACTGTCCATTGTGATGTCAACCGATCTTACTGTTTTGTTTCCTCAGCTCCCATCCCACCCACTTACGCCATCCCGGCACGCTGAGGGGAGGGCCATGACAGTAGCTCCTACCTATCACACCCTGCCTCATCCGTCCTCCCATGGGACATCCCACAGCACCATGATGTGGGGCCCACTGGAGCCACCCAACACCCCCAAACCCTGGAGCCTGAGCTGCTTACGGCCTGCACCTCCACTACGGCCGTCTGCGGCCCTCTGCTACAAGGAGGCGAGGAGGCTATGCTTTCATGCACCTCATATTCTTTTTTTCTCGTGTGTAAAATGCTTACACAGTTTCCTTCCCTTTTTGCTTTCCATGTGCAGGATCTCAGTAAAAGTCCTAAAAGTGTGAAGAAACTTCTTCCAAAGCGCAAACCCGAGAGGAAACAGTCCGAGGAGGAGTTTGCCTTGAGGAAGAGTGAGTTTCAAAGCTCTCTTTATGCTCTGAATATATAGTTTAAGTTCATGGAAAATTACCTACTTTTTTCTTCTGTTGGATGACTCACTGAGTCTAGCTTTTCATTTTATCATAAGTATTTGGTTTCAAGGGGTATAGTCTATAAACCTTTTGGTATAAAGGCCCGTAGTGTGTTCCCGAAAAGGTCCAGTGTCCTGTTTCTAATGTATTGACATACAAGCATTTAGTAATGGAACAAATGAATTGGGGAAAAATAATATGCGTTGTCCTTTTCAGGTACGGCTGCTCTTGAAGAAGACGCTCAGATCCTGAAAGTAATCGAGGCATACTGCACCAGCGCCAAAACCAGGCAGACTCTTAACTCTAGTAAGAAAAGGCTGAATCTTACTCTTATATATGTTGTTGCTCAGAGACAGAGAGGCTCATACCGGTGCTCACTGCGTTTTCAGTCGCTTTACCTGTCTTCTGTGCTCAGCACCTTACTTTAACGCAAGTATTTCTGAGCCTTCTAACAGTGTCTTCTCTTCCTGTCTCTCCTTCATTTCTCACTTTTATCTGGTTTACCTTGAGTTCCTTTCTCATATTGTTGTCTTCCACATATGCTCCTGTTAATTTCTCCCTCCTCCCATCCTCCATCTCTCATTACTTTTATGATTTGCCATTTCTTGTGTACGGTGCCCCCCCCCCCCCCCCCCCCCCCCCCCCCCCCCTCCCCCCGTCTCCTCGCCTCCTTCGACCACAACTCCCCCCTCCCCCCCACTCCTCTGCATTTGTTCCATAACTACGAACCTTGCCTGCCACCAACCAGCCTGGCAGGGCACCGACCTGATGCACAACCACGTGCTGGCCGATGTTGACCAGTCCAGCGTGGACTCACTGGGCCGCCGCAGCAGCGTGTCTCGGCCGGAACTGAGCTCCGACCTTTCGGAAGACTCTGACTATGACTCCATCTGGACCACCCACAGTTACAGGATGGGTTCGGTACCGCGCAAGAGCTGCATCTCCCACCAGAACTGAGGAGCGCACAGCACTGCCAGGCTGTGCCCTCGTGTGGCGTCCAGTGCGCTTACCTCTTTTACCCTCAGTGTATTAAAGAAATAGAATTTCTTTTCTTATTTATGTATTTATTTTCTATTAAATGTGTTGATTTTTTTGGTTAACTTATTTGTTTAATTTATTTTTCAACTGTCTGAAGATGTTTGAAGCATTTCCCTGTTGCCTTTTCCACTTTCCCTTTTATGTGCCTCCTATCTTTCTGTAGTTGTCATGCAGTAAGTGTTAGGTAATTGTTGTTCATTTTTCTTGAATGTGACCGCTCCCCTTATTTGACCATAAATGCGGTGGAGTGGATAGTCGCAGGATTTTGGCATGGAGCATTGGGGATGAAGCGATGGGGACTAAGCTTTTCCTGTCTGATATTCAGATACAATTCAGGACGGACTGTATTCAATTTACAGTTTGCTACTTCTCCTCGGCGTGTCTTTTTGGTCAAACATAGCACAGACGCTACTCAAGCAGGCACAGACAAGTTCAGGCACACACACCCAGCTGTCAAATATCAATACAAATTCACAACATTTCATATCAGTATTGTTTAACGATTTATATTTGTACTCATGTTGGTAGCCCTAAGCTGGATGAAATTGAACATAACCAGAAAGCTGTTAAACACTCAAAATCATTGCCTATTTCAGTCAAAGCGAGCCCATTGTTTGTCTTTTGTTGCAGCTGCAGCAGAGATGGGTGATAATTAAGTCCTTTTCACTATCTACTCAAGGATTTCCAACTGGAAAAAAAGGCATTAGGCCGAATGAGTTATATTTGTGATTCGTCGTTTTGAAAAACAGAAATATAGATGAACAAACAACAGAAGTGGTGCATAAACATGTCGATGATTTCCTGGTATTTGTCAATGCAAATGACACTCGATAAAATGAATTTGCATGAGGTCAGAAGCAGAGTCGAAGCTAAACTTTAACCCTATCAACTGTAATAACTGTCCCTATTAGATTATCTCCGTAGCAAAATCCTGATAAACCTAGAGCAATACCTCAGTGTCACGAGGTTTTATCTATACTATTCTTTAAATATTACACTATAGATATTAGCTTTTGAATACAGAGTGAAACTGTTAAAACTGTAATGCAATTTGAATGTCTTATTTAAGTTGATCTTAAAATAATTTGTGAAATATTTTTGCAAACAGCGCCATCTTATCTAGTGTTGCATGTCCAATGAATTACACTGATCTACTGTCACTGAAAATTACCTTGAAGCCAAAGTAGGATGGTTCAGGTATTTTTATTTATATTTGTATCTCCTTTGGAACAGAAATTAATAGAGTGTCATCCCATAATTCACTTCAGCTACAAAATTAAAATGTATTGTTGTGTTTTAATGAAGTTATTGGCAGTTTTTGTTTGGAATTTTAAAAAGAAACTTTAGTGGGAGTTCGGCAGTTAACATAAATAAACAGATTAGCTAAAAGAATCAGCTGAACCCTCTTGTAGGTTTCCAGACTTTGGCATTGACATTGCAAATTTTTGCCAGCCTTATTATGACACTAATAAGATAAATGCCTCTCTGTAACTACTGCAATGAGATTGTAATATGCTATAAAACGCAGTTTAACAATGTCAGTGTGATCCGGTTATGTTAGCATAATTTCCAAACACCCCATAGAACAAACTGACACCTATGCTAATGCCTATTGAGCCACATCAGCCATTGCTGGCGCTTTGAGGCTTTCCATTCATTATTTTGCATCAATAGCTATTTTTATGAAGAAGTATTTTTCCAGTATTGGTGTGAAAAGTACAGGTTGACATCCTCTTAGAGTGAGCAAAGGAAGTGACACAAGGCACATATCGGTCCATGTTACAGTTTTAGCTGATTTCTTTTTTTAACTTATGCGTACATAAGTTAAGTATTTCATTATGTAGGTATAACTTTTGCATACAGTATATTATTTTCTCATTACGTGAATCAATGTTTACAAAGTAATTCCTGGAAGATTTTTTTTTTCTTTTCTAAAAAACATTCTATGGGTCTTTATCAAAGTTTACATTTAAAATATAAAATGAAATGTTTAAATTATTTTGCACAATCATGTAATGGGCCAGTGGGAGGGGTGGGGATTCTGTTAAACTCAGTATTTTTACTTCTTAGCCTACCTGGAGTATGTATGGTATAATCCTAAAGGTAGAATTAAGTATTCAGTGTTACTGTAAAGTGAATATTCATTTGTTGTGTAAATGCCTTACCTTTGGTGTTTTGATAATGCTGAGGGTAAAAAAAAAACTGCGAGAGAGAAAAATTACACTGCAATTATAGTGGAACATGTCTATGTGAACTACTCATTCAACCTCAGAATGCTGTCCGAGTGGACTTGAGTTATTAAGAGCACATATTGTCCCTTTCTGTATATACTACTTGTCTTGGAACCAAAAAACAAGAAAAGTGAAGAAAAAATATCCATTCCACCTTCTATGAGTATTGGAGCTAAGAATATCACTGTGCTGATATCATGTGCTATACTTTGTGACAGGTGTATTCTGTGGTTTATAAAGTCAAACTGTGGGACAGGGTAAAGAGACTAACTGTCTTTAACCAACCTTTGTGTGCTCTAATGTTGCATTCGGTTCACACATGTGGCCATGTCTTATCTGCAGCCAACGCCTTCAGTGTATTTGTTTTACACTGCTAAACTGTTCGAGTCCCAAACGCTGTATCATGAGTTTTGAATAAATCTGTCATTTGATAGACACTGGTGTTCTGATGATTTCTGCTTGCAGAACTATTTGGGGTTGATATGAGGTTCTTTTTCATTAAACTTTCTTTGCCTTTGGTTTCCTTTCACTACTTTCTGGCTCTAGTTCTGTGTAGAATTGGGCTTTGCATGACTAACAAATGACCTTTTGCAACTTTTTTGCTCCTCTTTGCGTTGTTGTCTTGCAAGGTAATGGTTTGATAATGACTGAATCACGTTGGTGGAAGGTGAGACAAAGTGACATTCTGGTTGAGCCCTGTCCTGTTTTGATTTAGGAACAGAAAGAGAGACAGGGGTGCACATGATCATCCCTGGTGAGGACAAAGTTCTTTGGAGGGTCCCTGTGGAGGACCCCAGTCGCAACGGACAAAGTGCCCTGGAAGAAAAGTAAGATGGCAAATGAATCCGTTTCCTGTATCTCCCCTGCTCTTTAGAGTCTCTGCTTTTACTTGAAAAATTTACATGAACATGTACAAATCCCATTCAAAATACAAAGCTCATATCTTTTTCTGTCATGACTATTCAAAACATATGAAATTCTTCACGTTGAAGTTACTTTTGTTGTATCTTGAGGTTCAGTATTTAGTCTGCAAGCTGTGTTTCATTTGCCTTTTCAGGAGAGTATAGCTCCATTCAGTTAAGGATTAATCTCATTGAATCTATTTCTAGCCAAACCACCAAGAAACACCAATGCCCTCATTCTGCTGGGGCATTGATATTAGTTAAGCTGTTATTGTGCTACTTAAAGCTGAACCAGATTTGTCTCAATGGAATTGCCTTCCGAAAATTGCCAGAAATTAAGCTTCTCAAAACTGAGGTTTCCCAACCTAATTGTTCATTTGAGGATTCCATATTTCCTGAATACATTTAACCCAACTCCAGTGAATGTGGGTGCCGTGCACGTGTTCAAACATTTCAACATTTTACATGTTTTTAATAAAACAATGAGGCGACTGGGTGACAAATTTAGTTTTATTCCCAGTGCCTCTGATCTCATATGCCTTTAGTTTGTCTGATGGCTAAAGCTGCAAAAATATCTTTTGAAAATAAGCCTATTAAGACAAAGTCAGCTTGAAGTCACTTGATGCAATTGCAGACTATCCCCCTGCTCAAAAGAAAATCCATATTCTGTCTCCCAGTCCAATGCGTCGGTAGATATACTGGGACCATAACTGCTGGTTTTCTATTACCAGCTACTAAAAACACATTCCAGAATCTAATTGAGACCTTTTATCTCCTTAATTTCTCATAAAGTAAGACACACAAATTTCACTTTTTGCAAAGGTTCTGTGTCTGATCTGCATGGTTCAATTATAAATGCCAACTTGTTGCAGGAGCCTGGTGGATGTGGTGTACGCCCTGCGAGATGAAGTTCAAGAGCTGAAACAGGTAAATGTGTGCGCACGTTTCATTATGGATCATGTGACTTTTTGCTTCTGCTCATGCCCAAAACAGACAGTGTTTTTTATGTGGGTAATCTGTCTTGCAACACTTGTTTATATGATTATTAATCTTAACAGGATAATAAGAAGATGAAGAGGTCGCTTGAGGAGGAGCAGAAGGCAAGGAAAGACTTAGAAAAGGTTGTGAGGAGGGTGTTAAAGAGCATTAATGAGCCTGTGTGGGAGAAGACGAACCATTGAAGCTTACGTTCACGTCCACGGGAACTGATACATAAGAATGTGCAGACTATGTGTGGACTTGCTTGCACTATTCAAAATGCATGCACTTGCATACATAAGTTAAGACTGATTGTGTGGTTGAGGTAACGGGTGCATCTGTAAACTATTAACTGTGTGCTTGCCTGAAACGGATGCGTATGTTTTGTCCAAGAGAAGTGATGCTGTGGCCGCTCTGCTTCATAGACAGGCTTCAGTGAGCTGCTACACTGAGGTGCTTCCACCATCTGTCCCACAAAAACATTCCTTGAGCATTAAGCAAAGAGTGAGCCCATCATCATTGTGCGGTGTGTTAAGGAGGCACGGTGCCCAATGTGAGGAGGAGAAACCTGTTCTCCTTTTGTTTGATATTTCACATGAACACTGTTCAGTGTTACATAAATGGTACGTTAATAGTGTTAATGGTCAGGCCTCTGACAGTTCTGTTCCTGAACCTAGGCATTTTATAACCTCTTATGTTATTTAATTTTTCACTGAATGGTTTTTGCAGGGACTTTCTCAGACATGGGCTAAGGCTGACGTGTCTTTTGCCTGGAGTGAACCTCATGCCAGGAAAGTAATCTTTTTTAATGTTTTTTTTTCCCCCATCTTTGTTGTGTTTGACCACTTAGCAGTTTGACATTCTTTCTGGGTATCCCAAGTGAATTGTACATATATTGAACCCTTACTGTATAATGTAAATGCTGCTAAATGATGAGCCTTTTCCTGTGGGGGAAATAAATATGTTTGATGAAGACAGTGTCACTGTTAATTCTATGGCAGTGCCCTCAGAGATGAGTGATGATCTGCTATTGCAAAAGTGAAACGCTCAGAGAAATTATTTTATGTCACTAAAGGACTATGCAGAGTGAGGCCTTTGCACAGTCCTTTGGCTGCAGGGCAGTATGGTGGTTAGCACTGTGGCCTCACGTTAAGTGGGTTCCTGGTTCAAATCCCCCAGTCCACTGTGAACTTTTTGTTGTAGTGTTTGCAACAATATAGACAATGGTTGGAGCCTTTGATAGAACCCTGAAAGAATCAGCAGCCCTCTATACAAAATTTAGGGCCTTAACTACAACAATATTGTTTTAATTATCTCAATCAGATTTTACTATTTGATTATACAGCTCTTGACATCTACATTTAATTTTTTTAAAAATACAGAAATGTGAATCCAAAGTTTTGTGGTTGATACACAAAATCGAAACAGAGGACAAATGCACAACTTAAAAACTTACTCAAAGCCACAAATCCTGTGAACAAATTCTTAATATTGATGCCTTTTTTGTTGTTGTGGGTTGTGCATTTACTTCAGTTACTTCAGATAAAAAATCCCAAAACAGCCCAAAATAAAATACAAAGTTTCTACAAGATTTTATCAGATGTTGACAACGCTTTTCTTTCGGCAAAAATATATTTCTGTGTATCTGTATGAATGACTTGTGTTCCTATAGTTTGTGGAGGGAGACTCTGAACACTGGATTGTTTTTCTTTATCTTTGTTGTTATTTGAATGAAAAATGCTTTATCCATAAAGATTAATTCAAACGCGACGAAATAAAAAGGTAATATATGATGATACATAATCAGAATGGATCGAATGCTAGTTTTAACACGATAGCTTCACTTTTTATTCATCCATTTTCCCAATAAATCCTCACGACCCCCACTGGTCCTCTTTTCAGCGCTTTTCAATAGTTGCGGGTGTTTTCTGGCAGGACGCTTTCATCCGGTCACGACACCGTTTATGTGGCATTACGTGCGCGATTATCAATTTGGCACAGGGGCGCGTTTTACGAGCCGCGCGCGCTCCCGCGGCTGCGTAATCACTTTCTGGCAGGCAGTCACTTTTTTTGGCACCTGTTGAACATTTCCAAGCTTCTCATCTGTTTCCTGCGTCTTCGCTTAGAGGTAAGGAATGGCTGTTTTTCTTTCTTTCTCAAACCTAAGTGACAGCAGTGTTACAGAGATATTCGGTCACGCAGTTTTGTCTTGTTTCGTGAAGAGGAGGGAAAGACGCAGGTGTGTCTAATTCCAGTAACGAGGGGCTTGATTGACCAGTGTTGTTAGTTACCGGGACCTATGCTCAGGCAATGGGCGTGGGTGCGGTTTAACCAAACCGAGGTGTCGGTTTCGAGAATATTTCTTTTATATTTTGATGTTCGGAGAACAGCTTTTAAACTAATTGGCATTTGTTTACGTAATCTTGATAATTAAGTTTGACTCGCCAATTGCGCGCGGAGCAACATAAGGACCCAGATTTATGTTTACCTCTCATTCTGCTTTGACTACCCCCATATCCTGGAAGAAATATACAAGTTTTTGTGATTTTAAGTGTTGAAATATATATTCGTGAATATTAAATTCACTTGTTTCCTTAAGATAGCCCAGTTCGAGTTGAATGTGGGACAGCTGAGCCAAATAAAAGGCTATGAAGCCATTTTAAACCGGGGCGCCGGAATAAGTGCCCGTGTATCTCAAAACACCTGTATTATTGTCCATTGCGTTGATTATGTGCTACATGGTTGTCATGTCTCACATAAGTGGATTAATCTAGTTGATTTAATTTAGATATCATGTTACTCCACTGGCTTAGAGGGCTGAGATGGATAACTGACCAGGGACTGGTGGTCTAGCTTTATACCTGAACATCTTTTTATTTGAAAGCTTTTTATTGTCAGTCCAACATCAAAATACCCTGCTGTTGTTTGCCTGTAATTGGATGTGAAATGGAATCTTTATATACAATCTGCATGTATATGGCAGATTTGTGAATTTTGAATGGTTGAATGCAACAATACTGGTTATTCAGTTCATAGCCCAAAAGTGATTCATCCTTTAAACCAGCTTAACTGGGGTTTTGGTGGTATAAAGTATTAACATAGCACTTTTCCGCATGTTAATCGAAACAAAAACCATGGAAAAGTGATGAAAAATAGCCCGACAGTGCTTTGTCATTGATTGCATCTTGTGACTGCGTGCCACCTCCTTTTAAAACGGTTGATTTCTGTTGTGAAACCAGGTAATGGTGACAAGCTTTGTGGAAAAGATGATCCTATTCTGCTCCTGAATGAACACGCACTAATGTCGACCTTTTCACGGCGACTGTCACCTTGTCCAGTCGTTGGTAATTGAAACACTGTCCTTTTTGTTTCATGTATTAATATTCATTTACAGGAACAAAGGCACATTTTCATTCATTCTTTGTGGCAGATCTTGGGAGATAAAGTCCACTGGTGCCACACTGTGAACTTGCTGGTTTGATTGGGTGTCAAACTTGATTCACAATAATGAACCAGAGCGTGAACTCCATCTTTCAATGAATGTTAATTTAAACTGGATCTATGAGACCCAGCCTCAAGATAGTTTTGGTATAGTAAAGGCATATT